AGGGGAAGCAACTAGCCCAAGGTCACAGAGCAAGCTGGTAGCAGAGCCTGGTTGGAAAGTCTGTCCTTGGGGCTCCCTGTGCTTCTCACACTCCCCATCGGTGTCTGTGACTTCTCCCCTCCGCACCTGTCCCACTGTAGAGCCTGTACGTGGCCAGCCTATGCCAGCTCAGACGCCTTGAGTCAGCCAGACACTCACGCGTGTGTTCCCACGTGGCCGAGACCTTCCAGGGCAACGCAGTGGTCAGAGCCTTCCAGGCCCAGTGCCCCTTTGTGGCTCAGAATGACACAAACGTGGACGAAAGCCAGAGAGTCAGTTTCCCACGGCTGGTGGCTGAGAGGTAGGACGAGCCTGGGGGCAGAGAAGACACTGTACTCCATCTCTGTCCCCATAGAGTGAACCGGGGGTCATACTGTGTGGCCAGAGAGATCAAGCGGCCTGCCCAAGGTCACACAGCAAGGCAGGGATAAAACCGAGGCTGCATACCATGGGTGCACTCGGCTCGCGCCGTGAGCAGATGGAACGTGGCCTGCCGAGTCCCCAGCAGCAGGTGGGCGGGAGGTAGAGATGCCAGCAAAAGGGAAGAAGCCTCTGTGCTCAGGCCGCTGGACTCTTGCCTTGCTGAGAGAGCAGCTCTACAGGCCTCCTCAGCCTCCTTTCGGGAATGCAGGCTTTGAGCACAGACAGCCTGGGCTCCAGTCCCAGCTCTGCAACTTCCTCGCTGGGCGATCTTGGGCAAGTTACATACGTCTCTGAGCCTCATTTGTCAAAGTGGGATGGCTTTCATGGGGTGGCTATCAGGATTCAGTAAATACACTCAGCTAATACTTGTAACAAGCTTACTACATGCCCAACACGGTTCTGGGCACTCTACATGGATTTATTCCCTTAGTCCTATTAACAACTCACGAGGCAGAGACCATTCCAGAGATGGTGAATCTCAGGCACAGAGAGATTTAGGAACTTGCCCCGGGCCGCGCAGCAAATACGTGGTGGACTCAGGCTTTGAACCCAGGTGCCATGGTGTGGAGAGGGCCAAGCACACAGTAGGCACTCAGTAAATGCGAATTCCTTCCTCCTTTGTGCCCCAGGTCCCTGGCCAGCTGATTGGCTGTGGGCAATGTCTCACTCCCACATGCCTTCTGGGTGACCTGGCCTGCCTCTTCCTGGGGCCCCAGCCTAGGGAGGAAAGAACTTATGAACATTTAGAAAGCGCCTACTATGTGGAAGGCCCCCTGATTTCCGTGCTATGTATAGCACATCTCATTTAATCCTCTCAACTGTAAGGAGCCAGACGTTACCTCATTGCACAGATGGGTAAACTGGAGTTTAAAGAAACAAAGGGACTGTCTCAAGGTCAGCCGTCTAGGAAGTGGCTTATTTACTCACTTGTTGGCTGCTTCATTGGAAATCCATGACCTGTTGAAAAGGTTCATGCTTTCTGGTATCAGTCAGGGCGATGTGGCTTCCAAGACTTGTTAATGTGTATACCTAACTCTTCTGAGCCTTAGTGTCCTCACCTGTCAAATGGGGACAACCCCACTTTGGGGGGTTGTTTGGAGAACAAAATATTATATATAGTAAAGCCCAGAGCTCCCTGAAGACAGGGATTCTAAAACTGGATCATGCTGTGTCTCCAGTGCCTCTGGCATGCACGGCATACAGTAGATGCTTAATACATGTTTGTTGAATGAATGAATGGTAGAGTAGGAATCCAGTAGGAGGGGTTGCATATTTATTCATGCACTCAATATATTCGCCATTGAGCATCTACTATGTGCTGGGTCCCGTGCTAGGTACCGGGGACAGAGTCATGAACGAGACAAAGCCAATGCCCACGCCGAGCTCACAACCTGCCGATGGAGACTGATGGTCAAGGGCTGAGTAAATAGTTTTATCATAAAGAATGGTAACTGTTACGAAGTTATCAGTTACATGTGAGAGAGAAAGGAGGGAGCAGTCCAGGAGGGCTCTTAGAGGAGGCGACGTTCGAGCCGACTTGGGCAAGAAGATAAGATGGAGGTTGGGTTCAGGCAGGGATCAGGCACAAGGGATATGGCCAGGCATATCCCAGGGACAGAAAACTGGCACCTACTCTGTGCCAGGCTCTGAGCTGGGCACAGGTGAGACAGGAAATCATCAACCTCCCCCACCCACTGAGCTTGGGTGGGGTCTGGGGTGTGGAGGGGACCACTGCTGGGACCCCTGTGGGACTCAAGCTGGCACGATGACCGGACCCTGTGCCCAGAGAAGCAAGTCCTGCAGACAGGGCCCCCCGCTGACAGGGCTCTTACCTGCCTCCCCTCGCAGGTGGCTGGCTGCCAACATAGAGCTGCTGGGAAACGTGCTGGTGTTGGCGGCCTCCGTGTGTGCCGTGCTGAGGAAGGCCCACCTTAGCGCCGGCCTCGTGGGCTTCTCGGTGTCCGCCACCCTCCAGGTACTCCCAACACCCAAGACAGACCCCTGCCAGGGGGACCTTCCAGGAGCGAGTCCAAACTACCAACCCGTGAGGAAAATACAGCTCTACAGAAGCTTAGCTGGGGGGACCTTCCTGGACCTTGGGCCAGAGTCTTCCCTCACAAAGCCTCAGTGTGTGCATCTGAAAAATGGGGCAGTCATCTCTTCACCTCACACATTGTAAAGACTAGTTGAGATAAGGTATATAGAGATAAGGTATATAGAGAGAGTGCCTTGCTAAATTTTGTTAACTATTAATAACAATATCTAATGTCAGATCATATGTATGAGGGAAAAAAATATATACCTAAGTAGCATTCTTTATGAATGAAGCATTGTTCTCACAGCTTTACAAATATTAACTCATTTAACTCTGCCCACAACCCCATCAGGGATCCTCTCATTATCCTCATTTTACAATGAGGCAAAATGATGGGAAAATCCGGGGACAGAAACCTCTCAGACCGGAAGTCAGTGGGCCTGGGTCCTGCTGTGTGTCCTTGGGAGGGCCACACACCCTCTCTGGTCCTATCTCCCCACCTGTATCAAGATGGGTTGGACAGGCTCCTTTCTACTCTGCATGGAAGGCATTGGGGGGGAGGGGGTGTCCTGGTGGCTGCAGTCAAATCCCATCCCCTTGTCTGTCCCAGGACCTGGGTGATTGTCTGCAGGGGGTGCTGAGGCAAGCCTGCGGGGCGGCCTTGCGGAAGCTGGCCTGACATGCCTTCTCGTGCCTTCTCCCACCAGATGACGCAGACGCTACAGTGGGCTGTTCGCAGCTGGACGGACCTGGAGAGTAGCATCATGTCAGTGGAGCGGATGAAGGACTATG